GGAAGCACTTTATGCTATCTAGCCTTTGTCTGAAGGCTTCTGCATTTTTAAATCATTTATAACACAAACCCTAGGACAGGGGCACAGCTCAGTGGTAGAGGGTTTATTTCCTTCCCAGCACCACACATAAAAAATAATTAGACCCTGGTGTGTTAAGTAATTGCTGCCGGTATCTTGAGGAAGCCACACAATCTCACTCAGCCTCTCTTTCTCAAGGCTGTGAAACAGGGTCAATCGTAGCACTTACTGCATAGTATAAGGTGAAAGCACGAGTATGAAATGCTTAGCACGATGCCTGACACATAATAAAGCTTCTACAATGACAATGCCATTATCGTTATCATAATCAGCCAGGCAATAGGAACATCTCCTCCCCTCGGTCTCCTGCCACCTTCTAGGATCTCGTCCTCCAAGTGGAGGCCACTCCAGCAGTCGCCAGCACTGCCACCACCAGCTCTGTGACTTGGGAAAATCACGTCACCTGTCTGTGCTCTGGTTTCTTCCTCTGTGAGGCAGACATATTCGAATTTTCCAGGCTGGGGCTTTAGCTCAGTGGTGCCGCTGCCTGCCTCACAAGAGCAAGGTCCTGAGTTTGATCCCTGGTACCAAAAAAAGGAAAAAAACCAAACAAACAAAAAAAAGAATTTTCCCACGGCTCCTAAGGTCATTGACAATCCAGACTGGGACATTCAAAGCCTCCCCAAGACCTACTTGTAAAACAGCTTCTGCCAGGCATGGGGTGCCCCAGGGAAGGGGCACTAGGAGGGCTCACAGTCTGGCAGAGGAAGAGGCAGACGCGCTAAGAGTTGTTTACAACAAGTCCAGTCGGGGGGAGACCGTGCTGAGCGGCTCGGGGGTGGGAATCAAGGCAGACTCCCTGGTGGTGATTAGCAGTGGGCCAGTCAGAGGAGAAAGGAGTCAGGAAGGGGCAGGGGAATCAGCAAGAGCAAAGTCCAGAGGTATGAGATTTGGCACTTATCCCAGAATGGGCAGCTGGGAGGCTGACGCTGAGGAAAGACTTTGTTCATGGACTCCAGGGGACTGCCTGGTTTCAGACCCCATTTCTACCACGCACCAGCTGTGTAGCCTGAGGCAAGGTACTTAATCTCTCTGTCAAATGAGGTGAACAGCACTTACTTTGCTTACTGTACAATAGTGTTGTGACCATCAAGCACGTTAAAACACAGAAGTACTTAGGACTGCCTTCCGTAGGTGCACAGTGACCGTAAGGAGAAAAGGCTGACTAAATATTTGAACAAATGACCAAACAGCCCATCAAGCCCTCGACAGTCCTGTGCCCTCCTTACAGATCCCTCCCCTCCTCTGCCCACCCAGCTAAACTCAGGCAGATCACCTGGAGGCACCATCCCACACGGTACCCGACCACCACCCTGGCCATCTAACACCCACCCATGGTGCCTCCTCCACCTTCCACTTCTGCAGGGCATGGGCATAGGAACCAGGCTTGGGAGATGCTGGCCCAGGCCTCAGAGAGGAGGAGGCCCCCACTGTCACCTTCCAGAGCTGAGCCCAGTGCAGGGATTGCCCTCCAGTCACTCAGGTCCAACTCTTCCTGTTTTAGGGATGAGGAGACGGAGGCTCCAGGATCGGAGGCCCTACCGTGGGGGAGGCAGGAGTCCTGCCCAAGGCGATGGGACTCCAGAGCTGGGCTCCTCCACCATCCCGTCACTCACCCAGTCCTACCTCTCTCCTGCTGCCTGGCACACACAAAAAAGTCCGTTCTGAGAACAAAGACTTACGAGGAGGGGGAGGTGAAGAGATAACAAAAACAGGCATCAGTGATGACACCGTCCAGATCACTCACACTCTACAATGGGGAAACTGAGGCCCAGAGAGGCCTGTTGGGCCACTTCAGGTCACACAGCCCAATGAGGCAAGGCTGGAATGGAAGCTGTCCTGACCGCACAGTCTGTCTGACGCCCCGAGTGCCCGTTGGAAGGCAAAGGTAGGGCCCGATCCAACCTGCCTGCTTGCAAGCAGGGCTCCAGACAAGAACAGTCCAGGAGGAGCAGTGTGCAGGCAGCTTTGCTGGAGGGAGCCCGGAGGGAGCCATAAATCAGGCACGGGCTACTGGTCCCCATCCTCTGCACCCCACAGCGTGAGATGCCGCACAGGCCGTGGTGGCCCTGGCTGGGTCCCCCGCCAGCTGCAGCTCTGCAGAGGGAGGGACGTGGAGGAGATGCTGAGTTGGGCTTTGCCGGCTTCAGCCGCAGTGAGAGCTGAAGCCCAGAAACGGCTGGCGGGGTTGGCCTGGTGACCTTCCTCCGCAGCTGAGTGAAGGAAAAGCAGAGGAAGCCTTCAGCCCTGCCTAGTCCCATGGGCCATGCCTTCTGCAGCTGGGCCTGGAGAAAGGGCACGGAGCAGGGGTTGCAACTTCACTGAGCTGCTTCTAGCCCTTGGGGCAGGTCTAAGCAGGGCAGGTGGGAGGGGATGTCCAGGCCCTGCCACAGGGAAGTGGACAGCCTGGGGCAGGAGCGGGGTGAGGTGGCCCCTGCGTAATTTGTGATAAGGTCATTAAGTCGAGGTGACGAAGGGCCCTGAGAGATGATCATATTAATGACAACAGTTGAGAACGGTTCTCATGTACAAAGCGTAGGCACTGTCTCCGGCCACTGTGAGCCTCAGCACAGCCCTACGGGGAGGCCGTTTAGTCTCCATTTCACAGATGAGGTAACTGAGGCCCAGGTGAGGCCTTGACAGCCTGTATACTTGGTCCAGGGTAAGGGGTCTCCATCCCTTCTCCCGGGCTCTGAGCTGAAGGGAAGTGGGGATACTGCTGTGGGCCCTGCTCTATTCCCTGTGAAGTCCCTTGAATGAAATCTGCACTCAGGACACAAGCACCAGCCCCTCAGGGGCAGACAGGAGGAACATCCCAACCCTTCCGTCTTCCCTATTTCCAACTCTGTATCTCTATCTGGCAAAGCCCAGGGTCTGACCGAGTTTCGGTGTCCCAAGAGGTAGCCTTGTAATTGCAGCTCCTTGGGAGGCTGACGCGGGAGGATCTGAAGTCTGAGGCAAGCATGGACGATTTAGTGAGACCCTGTCTCAAAGGAAACAAGAAAAGGCTGGGGATGTAGCTCAGTGGCAGAGTATTTCCCCAGCATGCACAAGGCCCTGTTTCATACCCAGAAAGAGGGAGAGGGAGAAGTGGTGATGGTGGTGAAAGCTTGGAAAATCATTCCCATTTCACAGGCAAGAAAACTGAGCCTTAGGCAGATTTATATACTTGGCTGGTAGACCCCAGCCAGCCCAGGCTCCTTCCTCTCCTCCTGGACTCTATCAGTCCTTTTGTGGGGAGGGTGGGTCTGGCTGCCGAGACTAAACCACATAGCAGTAGCTAACACTCAGGGTGCAGTTATGATGTGCCAGGCATGTAGCATCTCAACCAATCCAATAACTTTTTAGCTTTTGGGGGCAACAGCTTTATTGAGATATTTCACATATCATACAATTTAACCATTTAAAATGTGCAATTTCATGGTTTTCTGCATGTTCACAGAATTATGCAATCATCACTACAATGAATTTTAGAACATTTTCATCACCCTCAAAAGAAACCTCATACCACCCCCTTCTGGAACTCAAACTAAGGATCTTGCGCTTGGGAGGCAGGTGCAGCACCGCTGAGCTAAATCCCCAGCCCAAAGCCTCATGCTCTTTTTCTATCAACCTCCATTCCCCTCATCCCCTAAGCTCTAGATAACCATGCCACTACTTCTTCCTGTTTTATTCTGATTATTTCATAATATATAGGATACCATAACCAAGCTTTTTTTTTTGTTTGTTTTTTGTTTTTTTTTTTTTGCAGTACAGGGATCCAACTCAGGACCTTGTGCTTGCAAGGCAGGGCAGTGCCACCAAGCTAAATTAAATCCCTGGCCCAACCAATAATGAGATAGCAGTAATAAGGTTTTGACAGGTAAAATCCTTCCTTACCTGGGGACTTTGTGAAGCAACAATGAGGGTTCAAATCAAGGCCTGTCCTTCACCATTAACTCCACGAGTTACTACATTTTAGAGCAAGACGCCCCTGGCCCGCTCCCCATTTCCTCCCACGTGAGCTTGGGGCCCAGTCCTGAATTTTCCCATCATACCTAGAGGTTGTCAGGAGAACTCCAGGCCCAGGGAGCCCACTCAGTTCTCTCACGACCCCTGCTCCATAACTCCCAGGTGCAGCCCTGCCAACGCCTCTGGAAAGCCCTCCCTGGTCACTTGCCTTTCTTGGTACTCACTGCCCCTAGATAGGAAGATTGGGCAGGCGCACACACGCACACACCTGCCATGCTGGTCGGAAAACAAGGCCCCGGGGGAGTGTCTGGGGTAACCCAGTGAAGCCAGGCAGAGTGGGGTCCAAGGCCAGATCCCCAACTCCCACACCAGGCGCTCGCCCATTGGCCCATTTCAAATGGGAGCCTCTCTGGCTCCAAAGAAGAGGAAAGAGCCCTGTGCGTGAGTTTGGGAGCCTAGATTGAGTCCTGGCTCCAGAGCAGGCCAAAACACAACCAGGCTACAAAAGGCCCTCATCTCCTCCATGCCTGCCCCATCCTGGGAAATGGTGTCATCAAGGGAAGGAAACAGGCTCAACAGGGCTGATGGCCTGCCCAAGGCCACAGGCATGGAGCCAAGACCCATCTGCTGACTTATGTGTCCTCCCTCATATAATGGGCCAGGAGCCCCAGTCTGAGGCTCCCACAAATCCCTGGACTTGTCCCTTTATCAGCTCTTATAAAGTAGGCCTCCTACTTCTTGGGGTCCCCATCTTCATGGCTGTATCCCCAGGGCAAGGCTGGGTCTGAAACAGGTCTCAGGAAATGTCTGAACAGATGACAGAAGGGGAGGAAGGGCGAAACAGAGTCTGGGGCCAGTTCTTTGGACTCCTCAATCAGAATTTTTTTTGACAATTTGAGATCTTATGTTTTTGGAGAATCACCCACACAACTGTACAAAGTTTTAGGGGCTCCCGATCCCTTGCAACTCACCTACAGGCCCCCAGAAGTCAGGTCTTTGTATGCTGGTCACTGGTCCAGAGCCCTGTATCCTGCCACAGACCTTGTTCTGGGGACACAGCTGATGAGAATGCACTTCATGACGCCTGCAGCACAGGCTAACAGATAACGCACTCTTGTCTGGTACTCCGGTGATCTCACTGTAAACTCCGGGAGGCCACAGTGAGCTGCAGCCCCCTTCACCATGCCAGTGCTTCCTCTATCCCCTTCCCAGAGCTTCTGCCAGCTGGGGATGTGCTAGAAAGCCCGTTAGTGCCGTCTCCCACCAGGCAGGGAGCAGCAGCAGCAGCAGCCAGAGGTGGGGGCTGCCTGAGATCCAAATCTGGATTGTCCGCGGACTCCACAGGACCCTGCCTTTCCTTCCTCTGTTCAATAAAAGAAAAAAAATGTTTAGAGGATAGTTTGCTGAATCTGAGGTTGTCTCTTCATCTGCAGTCATAAAATATTCAAGAGAACTGGGTGTGGTGGCGCATTCCTGTAAACCTAACCCTCTGAAAGGTTGAGACAGGAGGATCACAAGTTTGAGCCCAGGGCAGATGGCAAGTGGTGAGATCTGGTGTCCAGATGTTGGAATACAGCAACATGAAGAAGACAGGAAGGAGGGAAGTGGGTCTCTGGGACCTAGCAAGGCTCTGAAGCAAGAATTGAAGCCCATGGGGAGAGTGAGGAGGCAGCAAGTGGTGCTTTCTCCCCGAGCCCTGCCTCACTGCGTGGGAACACAGATCTGAGCCTGCAGACACACTGTGAGTGCTGGTGACCCCGGAAACACATCAGTGGATGCAGCAAACTGCAGTGGCTGGTTGTATTTGATACAAGCTTGAGCCCAGCCTGGGAAACTTAGGGACTTGGCAAAATCCTGTCTCAGAAATTTTAAAGAAGGGCTTTAAAAAATATAGTCCAGTACACAGGTCCTGAGTTTAATCTCCCATAACACACACACACACACACACACACACACACACACACACACACCAGAAGGGACACTAGCAATTGAAATTGTCTAGTTTCTACACTTTATTTGTGGGGAAACTTAGGCCCAGAGATAAAGGAAGTTTGGACAAAGCATGTCTAAGTCACAGATAATTAGGATCACACACAGTCCTCAAACCCAGGTCTCCTAATGTATGTCAGACAACGCCAGCCGTGGAAGGAATGCCTAGGCCCTTTCAGTCAAGCCTCTCGTTTCTCAGGAGAAACTAAGGCTCAGAGAACTGAGCACCATTGCCAAACCCAAATGTATCAGAGCGTCTTGAGGTCTGAGATGACCTCTCTTACCTCATCTTTTGCAAATGATAGAAATAATAAAATGGAAGCAAAGTATACGGTATAGGATGTCTGTCAGGAGTATCAATGATCCACAGAACGCCCCCAGCACTCAGTGGGAGCATAATCCACGGTCAAGCCTCTGTCATTTCCTCTCTGCGTCACATTCCAGGTCGTGTTTCTCGGAACAGTAAGACTGGGGACCACGCTTCAGCCACACGTTGGCAGGTGACTAGACTGATTGCTATTCACTGACTCTGGGCCTCAAATGCCATCAGTAAATCGGGGATGACATTACTGGTACCTACCAGACAGGGACGTGGTGAGGTCAGAATAACACATGTGATGGGCTTCACCTCCTTGAACTGCAGCTGAGAACACTGAACCACACCAATGCCCTGTCCTGGGGTCACAACTGATATGAATGCGTTTCATAAAGCCTGAAGCACATAGTAAGTGCTCAAAAAACGAGCCACTCCCGTTACCTGTTCCCTCCTCAGTATGCCCATCTATCACCATACCCAATTACAGGTCACCTGGTCCACCAGGAAGTGGCTGGTCCTCACTTAAAGCATTTCCTAGCAAGGGAAGGCACTCCCAGTGTTCTAGGCAAGGACACCAGCCTGCCTAAGCAGCTCTTGATTCACTGGTGCCTGCTTGAAGTTGCAGATTCTGAAAATGCTGGGGAAAAATCTGGATTTTTGCAGGTGTGGAAGTGACCTGGCAGAGTCCCATAGTTCTCCTGCAGAACCGAGGACTAGGGAGGGGGTTGCTGCCCATGGACATACAAATACAGGCCCAGGATTTATGCACAGGTGTCCACACTTACGGCACAATCTCCCAGGAAGATCCCCTTCCACGCAGCCATCACCTTCCCCAGCCTGCACTAGAGGCACAGGTGACAGGCTTCGTGGATCTACAGCCTTCAGAGAGGAGTCTGGGAATCTTCAGAACCCTGAGGGAGTGCTTGCCTCTCCAGACTGATGGGGCAGGGCTAGCTGTGACGTGGCTGTGTCCAATAACATAGGAAGGGAGCGCTGTTGCCATTGTGATTCTGGTGTTCCAAGGCAAAAGAAATGGGTTTTGTAGTTCTGGAGTCTGGGTTTTGTCCAGAAAGTAGGTTTGAGGACAAATCTTGTTTTTGTTTTGCTTTGTTTTTTTGGGGGGGAGGTTTGAAACAGGGTCTCACTATGCACTTGAGACTGACCTGGAACTCACACTGTAGCCCAGGCTGGTCTTGAACTCACAGCGATCCTCCTGCCTCAGCCTCCTGAATGCTGGGATTACAGGTGTGCGCCACCACGCCCGGCGAGGACAAATCTTGTAAGGCTCCAGTGGGACCTGGAAATTTGTGAACAGAATCAGAAGTCACAATGATAATTAAATTATCTAACATCTCTAAATGGAGATAACCTAACTTGCCTTCCCTGTGGATATACCAACATGTAGAAGAAATATACACAGGGTTGGCTACCTTGGAAGCACCAGCAGACAGTGAGTATGGGCAAAGCAACCTGCCAACCCAGGAAACAATGCTCTAAGTCTTGGCTCCTGTCTGTAGGAGCTGCAACTGCAGAATCAGAAACAAGTAGCTGTGAGCTTCAGCAAAAGCACTGAGTCAGAGCTACTGCTGACCTGTCAGGCCTGTTTCCACATCTGTTTGTTTGTTTGTTTGTTTGTTTGTTTGAGATAGGGTCTCACTGTGTAGCCCGCGTTGGCCTTGAACTCATGGCAATCCTCGGGCCTCAGACTCCCAAGTGCTGGGATTACAGGGTGTGTTACCAACTGTTTCCTCATCTGTACAACTGATGGTCTCTTGGGCCCTCTGAGCTTGGTTTTGAGTCTGCAGCCCAAGATGGCTTATAAGTAGATGGAGTACAGTTTATGAGAAGTTGTTGATGATTGGCATTTATTCATTCAATAAAGTTTGCTAATATTCTGCAATAGACCCTAGGTCAGTGAATGTCCAAACTGCAACCCAAAACCCGCTTATCGAAAAGTGCCAACACAATTAAACCTGAATACTGAGGTTTTAATTTTTAAAAATCTCAGACGTTAACATGTTTTGTCTTAAGAGAAAAACATAGGTTCACCACCACTGCCCTAGGGACACCACGCTAAGAGGGCTCTTGCCTTGTGGGGCCCCCAATCCAGTTAGGTGAACAAATGGCCTTTTAGAATACACTGTCAGGTGTAGCTCAGCGGTAGAGCCCTTGCCTAGCATGTGGGAAACCCTAGGTTCAATACCCCTCTAGGTATGCGGGGGTGGGCTTTATAGAAGGTAAAAGAGATCCGGGCAGCAAGGCAGAAGTACCAGGGAGGAGAGGGCATGGGGCAGGAGGAAGGCAGGCTCAGACTGCAGAGACCACAGCAGTCCAGGGAGAGCACTTCAGGAGGGGGCGGGCTAGCATTCCAGAGCCAGACCCAAGTTGTGAATCCTGGTTCTGTGTTTGGCACGCAATAGTTTTGGGAGCTGACGTTTGAACCCAGGAGCTCCTGCACGGTAAGCAAGTGGTCTACTACCTAGCTACACCCTAAGTCTTGTGCCCAGCTACTGATTCAGTCATTTCAGGCCCCAGGTTGCTCTTTAAGCTTCAGGGCGTTTTAGGGCCTAGATGAGATAATGTATGCACAGCAGGGCCTGGAAGGTTAGCTGGAGCCAGCCGGAACCAGACCCAGAGGCAGTTCTATAGCTTCCGGGTCAGGGGCGAAGAAGGCACGTCCCAAGGCCCCTACCACAGAGGCTGACTCAGATGCCCAAGTGGGCCTGGAAATCTGCATTGGTGACCAGCACTGGAACAGAATGCTATTCTTTAAAATTGGGGCTCGGGGGTTGGGGGAGGCGGCAGCAGCATGGCGGCCGGCACAACCCTCCTCTTCCCTGTTGCCGCTACAGCCACCACCGGAGTTGCTGGGGGGCCCTGGCCAGCCCTCCGTCCTCCCCAGCCGGAAGCTCCCCGCCCACCCCGCCCACTGTGGGCCGGGCAGTGGAGGAGGTGAAGCTGGAGTTCCCCTCGCTCCCACAGTGCAAGGACGACGGTGAGGAGTGGACCTGCCCTATGAGACAGGAGATGCAGGAAATTTTACCTGGATTGTTCTTAGGCCCTTACTCTTCTGCTCTGAAAAGCAAGCTACCTATAGTACAGAAACATGGAATAACTCGTAATTTGCAAACAAAATATTGAAGCAAATTTTATTAAACCAAATTTTCAACAACTATTTAGATATTTAGTCTTGGATATTGCAGATAATCCAGTGGAAAATATAATACGTTTTTTTCCCTATGACTAAGGAATATATTGATGGGAGCTTACAAACTGGAGGAAAAGTTCTTGTCCATGGAACTGCAGGGATCTCCGGAAGTGCTGCCCGTTATTGTACACATTATGGAAACCTCTGGGATGAAGTACAGAGATGCATTTGCTTATGTGCAAGAAAGAAGATTTTGTATTAATCCTAATGCTGGATGTGTCCATCAACTTCAGGAATATGAAGCCATCTACCTAGCAAAATTAACTATACAGATGATGTCGCCACTCCATATAGAAAGGTCCTTATCTGTTCATTCTGTTACCACCGGCAGTTTAGAGATAATACATGAAAAAGAGGATTTTGGAAACATGCAAGTGGCAACTGCACAGAATGGCTAACTCAAGAGTGACATTACACACATGAGGGTGTGCATTTCTATTGGAAAGAGAAAATACTAAAGATGATAATAATGTAAAGTGGTAAACACTTTCCTTTCAGTTACATGTTGCTTCCAGAAATGTTTCTCTGCAGCACGTTAAAAAGATGCTGGACTTCTGCAAGAGATGGCACTGATGGTTTTAATTTTTTTAAACTTTACAGTTTTATTATAAACTAAGAATTTTGGATTTGCAAAGAGTTATTATTGCAATAATGCACCTTTCATACTTGAAATTTGTATGATATAAAATTATTACTTTAAACAAAATGCAAGTTACGGGGGGTTTATCAGTTTTGGGTAATTTATAACAAAATAATTTCCTAGTGTTTGCTACAAATTCATTTTGTGTTCTATATATTACATTTAAAAAATAATTTTACAGTTACATTTTATGATGGAACCCAATGTGACAGAAGTGCAGCCATCTGCCACTTTATTAGTGTAAGACAATAAATTAATGACCATTTAAAATAAAATGAAATAAAATTAGGGCTGAGGGCCAGGGTTCAGTGGTTCCTCCACCTATCACGCAAGTGCAAGGTCCCAAGTTCAGTCCCCAGTAACAAAAAAAAAAAAAAAATTAGGGCTGGCAACATACTGTAATGCAAAGCATTTGCCTCACCCTGGATTCATTCCACATGCGCATGCACACACACTCAGTAAAAAGTGCATCGTGGAACCAAATGCAGTGGTACATGCCTGAAATTCCAGCTAGATGGGAAACAAGCAGGAGGACAGAATTTGAGAACCTGGGCAGTTTAGTCAGACCCTACCTCAAAAAATAAGGGCAGGGGCCAGGGATTTAGCTCAGTAGTCCCGCTTCCTGCCTTGCAAGCATTAGGTCCCAAGTCCGATCCCTGGTACAAAAAAAGAGGGCCAGCTGTGGTGGCACATGCCTGTAATCCCAGCATTTGGAAGGCTGAGCCAGGAGGATCACTGTAAGTTTGAGGCCAGCCTGGGCTACACAGAGAATTCAAGCCTAGCCTGAACTACACAGCGAGACAGTGTCTCAAAAACAAAACAAAAATTTAAAAACCCCGAATAATAATGCAAAATAAAAAGGGCTGGACATGTTGCTCAGTGTGAAGGCCCTGGGTTCAATACCCAGTACTGAAAAAAGGAAAAAATGTCCATTCTATCCACTAGTCCACTAACTCCCCTCACAGGGAGCAAAGACCTCAGGATAACTGTTCCGCCCCCTTCCCACCACTGCTAACCTTTCCAATCGCCACAAGGCAGCCGGGCACCCAGCAGAGTGCCTCCTCTGGTATGTGTGTGACAGTCTCCAGGCTAGATCTACTCTGGGTTCCTGGAGTCCTCCAACCACAGGGAGCACAGTGAACACCAGTGAGCTTAGGAGGAGGAGGTCTTAGAAACTTTCCTGGCACCTCTCTCCCATGCTGGCATGTTTCCTTTGGGCAGTGCCCGGCTACTGTCTGGCCCTGTATGTCCCAACATGTGCTGCGGAGGGACAGGCCAAGGGCACAGCTGTCCCTGAGAAACGGGACCTTTATGTCTATCAAGCCTGGGGCTGTGCCCACTTGCTGGGACCTCTTTTAAAGCCCACTTATGCGTCATTGATCTGCCCGTGGTAACCACAGGGAATGAACTTTGATCCAATTGTTAATTATCTCAAGTCACAATATTCTCTTCTACACTCTGGTATAGCATCTGAACTATATCTTTAGTCCATTTTTTTTTTAACACAGTCTCACTAAATTGCCCAGCTTGGCCCTGAACACACACACTCCTCCTGCCTCAGCCTTCCAAGTCGCTGAGATTACAGGATGCACCATCATGCCTGGCTGGCACAGCATCTTTCTAAAATGAAGTATGGGCTTCCTTTTCCTCCAGCATAGAAATGAAGTATGACTGAAACTTGGCCATGGCCCCTGCAGTACCTTTTCAACCTTGGCAAGGCACTTTCTTTCTGACCTCAATGCCCTAGGCTGCAGAGGATGGTCCTGCACACTTGACAGAGCTGCTGCAGACAGTACATGCATAAGCAAGGGAGTGAGCAGGTGCTCACCATGCACAGGCTGCCAGAACTGTTTTCTTGATGACTCCAATTTATACTGTGAACATCAGTCACTGTTCCGTGCCTGCTTTCTGCTTATCTTCCTCACCGGGAGATGTCCAGAAAGCTGAGCTGACCATTATTTTGACTTCCTGACTATATTGCCTGTGAAATCTCTCCTTCCTGCCCACAAGATAACCCAGAGGGAACGTAAGAACATGGAAAAAAGCTTGATCTAGTTCTCAGCTGCTCTTTTTTCTACCAAGATGCCGGAAGAAACCCCTAGAACAAAATCTCCAGCAGGCAATAACGGCACTGGGAAAGTGTGGGTCCGCTGGCTGTTTACGCAACACACGGCGGTGGTCCTGCAGTTGAGCACACCTGCGGAGGAGCCCATGACTGGCTTGAGTGGGGTGTGGTGGTGCACTAATGGAACCCCAGCGCTTGGAAGGCACAAACAGGAGGACTGTTGAGTTTGAGGCTAGCCTGGGCTACTGTTTCTAGGGGCAAAAAACTGGGTTTGAATCCAAGCCATACC